AAAAAAAATTTATTTTCCGCTTGCTTCCCATATTCCACTTAATTCTCCACAAACATCTCATAAATTGCACCTATTATCGTCGCCATCGTACGTGCAATCTGATAGTAATCTCTTCTCCCAAAAAATGCTGCAATTGTCCTTCTTGATCCACGACACGCACTGTTAAATCTGTAATGCTTTGTGCGAGGATTGGAAGATAAATGACATGTACTGGATTTTCCGATATCATGGTAACACTCTAGGCGAAAATTCGAGCATGGTATGTACACGCATACTGTTGCTGTACCTACCACCGAAAACGCTGCACTTCATACGAATAATATTCACGTTGATAATCTTAATCAATGCGTCCGATTCGTACCATTGTTTTTGTCCTAATGTGCGATTCGATGAAAATCCCAAATGCGAATCAATGTTGCTTGGTCTGCTAAAATTTATTCTATAAGTATATTTTATTTCGTTCTTCATCGTATTATAATTTAGCATGAATTATAATAGGATATTCATCCTCATCGTTTCAATATATATTATTAATGTTATTTTTTGAAATGTGATGTTTTTCCGAGAATGTAAAATTGGGCGTTTTAAATATTCGTATATAGCACCCAATTCGTATGATTCTTCAGGAATTTCTTCGTCGTTATCATTATAGTAAAATTTATTATTCGATAAACTTACGTTCGGTATCGTATTGTATGGTACAAAATTTGTTAAACCGAGCTCATAATCATTGTCGCTTAAATCTATAGGGGGAAAATAGCTCACTAAAAGTGTGCTACTGTTACCAGTCAACGTAAGCGTTAGCGACATGTTCGTAAAGTGTCAAACGAATACTGACTGCTGTTAGTTGAATATTGCCCTTTAAATCCATATCGATCGTCTATCGTTTGGAGACACTGTAATCACAATTGTCCACAAATGCTCTGATTAATAATGTTGATGAGACATACTATTGTACTAAATTTTTGCCACATTCTTTTCGAGATAACGCTTTAATTCCTTCGGCTGTTGAAGATTTCCAAGTCTGTTAAAATATACTGCACGATTTCCCCCTTTTACATACGCTACCAAGTGAGTACTTGGTCCTTCTATGCTGTATAAATTTACAATACCGCTTTCGTTTTGATGCACTCCGCGTTTCTCTACCGGAAGTATTCGTTTTTTTTTATTCGTCTTGGTTTCCTTCGTTTTCATACCCATGTCAAATTTCTCTTTGCTTTCATAGCCGCCCAAACTGCTGTAGCTGCAGCTTTTTTGCCGAGAATCGAATCTTCGGAAGTTATAAGTTCCCAAGCATTCTTAGCGAGAATCCTATCCGCCGCGTGCCGATCAGTAAGATTGTTGCTTCGAGAATACGCTATATCGTGCTCGTGACACGCCGTATCCAATGAATTAATGCCTTGATCGTCTCTGGCCAATCGTTTTGCCATGTGAGTTCCAGGACCGCAAAAATTATATCAGGAAATGTGTAATTCGATGGGCAACGTATTTATCGCGCGATTCAACAAACCTTTGCTTTTTTTACACTCGTCGGCGACATTCGTTACAGTTTCTGGTCAACGGTGTCGAGCAATCGATAAGCGTTTGCTACCAAGGGCGATTGTAATGCTCGTTACAGCGACGATAACTTTGTACTTACGAATCTGTCTGTATATGCTAGAGAAGCTTGTCCCACAGATAATCTATTTGACCGCTAAACGATTGTAAGAGAATGGTCTTTGAAATAAATTGTAACTGCCCAGTAGACAAACGATGAATATCACAAGAATCGCACACTATGAAGAACATTTGATGACTGTGCACTTCCGAGTTCGACGCATCTGTATACATAAAGCCAGCTAAAGGTTCATACATTACATCTTTTTAAGCATATGCAATGTGGCTTATACGACAATCAATAACAATACGCGTGACAAATTTTGACGATAGAACGCGGTTAATGGGGGAAAACAAAGAGGTCCGTAAACATGGAGACGCGCTACCAAGTATTATTCGCGGCCCTTCGAATTGCGATAAAACAAATGTTCTCATAAGCTTGTTAGAAAGTGCGAACGGTTTACATTTCGAAAACGTGTACTTATATTCGAAATCGTTGATGCAGCTGAAATATCAGTATTTGGAAAATTTATTGACGTCAATTGATGAAATTGGTTATTTTACGTTCTCTAATAATTCCGACATTATTTCGCTAAATGAGGCGCGTCCGAATCCTATCTTTGCATTTGATGATATAGCATGCGACAAGCAAGATACGATAAGAGAATACTCTTTAATAGGATGGCATTCAAACATCGACTGTTTCCCTCTCTGACAGACGTACGCGATAATATCTAAGCACTTTATACGTGACAATGAAAACCTGCTGATTTTGTTTAAACAGGATGGGACCAATTTAAAACATGCGTTCAACGATCACTTTAACATTAACATGTCGTGTGAGGATTTCTGTACATTGTGTCGCAGATGTTGGCAACAAAAGTACGGATTCGTTGTAATAGACAAGGATAGCTCGCTTACTAATGGGCGGTATAAAAAGGAATTTAATAAATGCGCGATACCATGAGATAATCAGTTGCTACTGAGATGTTGACGGTGAAACGCTTCTAATTTTTTCAAACAACATGACGAAAATTAATAGTGGAAAAGAAATTCACGATCGCGAAAAAATAGTGAAAGAAATTACAAAAACAAGCGACTCGATTCGTAAGAAACATCGCGCTCTGAAAACCGGTAGGATGGAAGAAGATATCACATTGGAGCAATATTTTAAACCTATTATCGAACCTCTACAGAAAATTTTCGAAAGCACCATTGACAATTCCAACTCATTTGCTGAAGAATGCGCCGACTGAAGATGCAAAAAATGAAATAGTATCCTCGCAAAGAAAGAAGTACATAAAGACAGGGTCGAGAACGAGAAAACTAGTTGATGATTTTCCAAATTCGCATAAACCAGAAAAAACAAATAAATGTTTCATCAGGTGAATTATCTGCAGCAACATTTATAACACCACTTAGAGCAACATTTGCGACAACACCTTCACAAGCACACAAGACCTTCACAAGCACACAAGAAGATAGGAAGAAAAAAAAGAAAACTATTAGATAATTTTCTAGATATAAATCAATCAGAAGGAAAATCAATAAGTATTTCATCAAATGTATTACCGACACTCGTACAAACGCATGTTGAACTTGTAAACATACCTGCCGACGAGGATGTTTTTGAAAGCGAAAACGAATCCCCCGAGAAATTTATACAACGTGAATTACAAACATCGAAAGGTCTATTAGCGTTGCAAAGTTGGGTCCGCTGGGTCAAAAATACATCGCAGGCAGTTTGAGTAGTGAGAAAGAGCATAAGAGAAACATAGACAATACTTACGGGGTTATTTAGACAAAGAAGGAGTGATGCTCGGTGATAAACGTTTCGATGTGGACATAGATAATAATATAATTATAAACGGAATAAGATACGAGGGAACACCTGATCTTTACAAATTGATTTTTCGGCGACTTCCAGACGATACTTTATATACTGAAGATGATCTACAAAAGTACAAGAATATACTGCTAATGACGAACGCATATAAACGAGGCTACATCGCAACCAATACTCTATTGAGTAACAAAGAATACAAATATAAACATATAATTAAACCTTTGGTATCCACAGCATTTGACAAGAAAACTGGGAAAAGTTTACCGTATGCCATGGCGCTAACTGAAAATAAAGTCGAATATGTGCACCGGGACGATCCCAACAAACTGATAGATCGTCTACAATCGAAGCTTCGAGCCGAGCTGGCAATAATGCACATGACAATGAAATTTTATCTATTATCGAAGAACATCGCAAAGCCAGTCTGATTATAAATTGAATAGCGCGAGATTGACACGAATCAGTCAGTCGATAATGTTTGTGCCGAAATGAATAAGTTAGGAAAATCGCGAGAAAATAGTGACTCGAGAACTGATCAAGCACATTAATGGCATAAATACGTTGAAAATTATGTACATGAAAATACCCTTTGTTTAAACGCCGCCAAAGATTTTGATGGAAAATCATGCAAGATACAACATGTAACGCAACCTGAAGCTGACAATGACGTTGCAACCAAACGATATGTGGAAGAGCGTGTGGCAAATTTAAGGGATCATTTTAACAATGTTACACGGAAACGATATGTGCATGACAATGCACTTTGTCTAACCGCTGATCGTAAAGGTTTTAATGCAAAAGGGACCAAGTAACAGCATTTACTGCAACCGGAAACCTTCAATGATGCTGCGCACAAAAATTATGTGAATGAGAATATCAAATTTGTAATGATTCTACAGGACCAAAATAACGCCGAGAACAAGAAATATATGGATGAAAACAGGAAATATATAGATGAGAATATTAAAATGTTGAAAAAAGAGACCAAGAAGTCTCGATGAGAATATTAAAATTTTGAAAAATCTGTAGAAAGAAATCAAGATGAAAAATGTATTGAGTATGAGTATTTGAGTATGAATGCTCAACATCAAAACATCGACCTGTTATTGTCAATAATATCAAAATCTCCAAAAACTTAAATAATAGAATATTTACAATTAAACCAGTATAATGCAGATATAAGCAAGAGAAGGATCATCGCGAGTCGTAATGGTGAAGGAAAAGGACCAAAATTTAACAAAAAGAACGAAAGTTCTGAAAAGTAGCGGCTCGTGGACGAACTACATGCTTCAGCGCGAAAGAATTTTCCGAGCAGACGCGTCGTTGTGCGCGGATACGACGATCTGTGGCAGGCTGACATAGTTGAAATGCGTTCTTTTGCGCGATTCAACAAAGGTCATTACTATATACTTACAGTTATCGATGTGCTAAGTAAATATGCATGGGCTATAACGTTAAAGAATAAAGGTGGAAGTGGGATAGCTAGAACTATCGCAAACATAATTCGGGAAAACGGTAGATGTCCGAAATATTGGGTTGCCCGAAAAGTAATTGCCGATGGCTCCAATAGATGGCTTTAAGCGTCTGTTTGAATGTCTTCTGTCAATGTTATGATTTTTTTTCTTTTGACGTTTGTAAGCTGTCACTCTTAGTTGACTTTAGAAGCAAATTACACGTGTTTTTGTTAAAAAGTGTTAGTTTGGCGTCAGTTTTAGTATGGAATCCAATAACGAGCATTTTCGTCATATTTTACTTTTTTATTTCCGCAAAGGAAAAAACGCAGCGCAGGCTGCTAAAAAGTTACGTGACGTATATGGCGAGGAAGCCTTAAAAGAAAGACAGTGCCGCAATTGGTTTGATAAGTTCCGTTCTGGAGATTTTTCACTCAAAGATGAGCAACGTTCAGGTCGGCCATTGCAAGCTGATGATGACCAAATCAAAGCCATAATCGAGTTGGATCGTCATATATCTGAGCGGGAGATTGGAGAGAAGTTGAAAATACCAAAATCAACAATCCACGATCATATAAAACGTCTTGGATTCGTTAAAAAGCTTGATATTTGGGTACCACATGAATTGAAAGAAATTCATTTAACAAAGCGTATCAATGCTTGCGATTCTCATCTCAAACGCAATGAATTCGATCCTTTTTTGAAGCGAATAATTACTGGTGATGAAAAATGGATTGTTTACGATAATATTAAGCGAAAACGTTCATGGTCCAAACGTGATGAGCCACCACAAACCACCTCGAAAGCTGATATTCACCAAAAGAAGATTTTGCTATCAATTTGGTGGAATTGGAAGGGTGTAGTATTTTTTGAGCTCCTTCCAAAGAACCGAACCATTAATACGGATGTCTACTGTCAGCAACTGAACAAACTGAATGCAGCGATTAAAGAAAAACGGCCAGAATTGGTCAATCGTAAAGGCATCATCTTCCACTAGGACAACGCTAGGCCACACACATCTTTGGTCACTCGCCAAAAATTAATGGAGCTTGGTTGGGAATTGTTACATTCACCATATAGCCCTGACATTGCGCCGTCAGATTACTATTTATTTCGATCCTTGCAGAACTACTTGGATGGTAAAACTTTTAAGGATGATGAAGCTGTGAAATCGCACTTGGATCAATTTTTTTCCGATAAAAACCAGAAGTTCTACGAGCGTGGAATTATGAAGTTGCCAGAAAGATGGCAAAAGGTCATCGAATAAAATGGAAAATATGTCAGTGATTAAAGTTCATTCTATGCACAAAAAAATTGTATTTTATTTCTATGAAAAAATCGGCAATTACTTTTCGGGCAACCCAATATATTCAAATCGACCAGGGCAAGGAATTTTACAACGCTGATATACAAAAGCTGGTGAATAAACACAATATCAATCATTACTCAACGTATTCCGTCATGAAGGCCTCTGTCGTGGAACGATTCAATCGTACGTTAAAAAATGACATGTGGTAAATTTTTACATTTAATGGAACCTACAAATGGATTGACGTATTGCTGCGTCTCGTGTCGGAATACAACGGGCGCAAACACTGAACCATCCTATCGATAATGTGATCTCCGCGATCGCTGAAAAACTCCTAAGTACGGTGTATAGCAATGTAAAGATTGCAGCTCCAGCGAAATTCAAGGCGGGTGACTCTGTACGCGTGAACAAATTCAAAACCATTTTCGATAAAGGTTTCGACAAGTCAAATTGGATCACTGATATGTTTAAGATCGCCAAAGTACAGACAATCAATCCGGTGACTTACCTGTTCAAGGATTCTTGCAAACAATAGGTCGCCAGAGCATTCGACGAATATGAATTGTATCGCGTAGCTAATGCCAATGTATATCTCGTAAAAAAGGTGTTGCAGTGATAAAGTTTTAGTGAAATGGTTGGGATTTGACAATTCGTATAACTCATGGATAAACAAGGATAATATACTGTAATTATTTATTTTAATTATTATATACAATCTTTACATTATATAAAAATTATTTTATTGAAAATATACACATATGTTTGTATAAACTCCCTTATTATTTTTTATTTACAACAGTATTTTGTAATGTCCCCATGGTAACGTGTCGATCGAATCAGGTACGATATATCGCTTGTCATCGTACAGACTTAGAGCGATTTTCGTTTCAGACACTGTGTAGACTTCATGCAATTTTGATCTTATGCATGATTGTCGACGACTCTTTTCGACTTTTTCTCATACCAGGTGTAAAAGTATGAAACCGGAATTTTTTTGTAAAAATTACATGTCTGTTGTTTGAAAATGATAAAAAATATTTTATTCAAAATAATGTCCATTGCTATTTATACATTTTTCCCACCTCTCCGGCAGGTTATGAATGCCACGCCGAAAAAACATATCTTCTTTTGAAGCGAACCAGCTATCGAGCCATTTTCGTACATTTTCATACGAAGCGTTGTTCAGCGCGAGCGTGTCCCATTGATGCGAATAGATGATAATTGGACCGAGCCAAGTCTGGAAAATAAGCCGCATGCGTTAGTATTTCCCAACTGACCGCCTCGATCGTTTC